AGATTTTTTCATGCATACCGTTTTGATTAAGTGAAATAAAGCCCAGCGCAGTCCGTAGGTATTATTTGTTTAAAATTTGCGAGGTACATAAACTCTTCTAAGTACCACAGAGTTATCTCCCATGCTGGGTCAATGATGCGTTTGAAAACTATATTTAGAATGAATGTGTTAAGATTTCAATTTTTAATCAAAAAGTGCAAGGGCAAGGCGACAACCCAAGAGGTAGGTTTTTATTTTGAATTCTTTATTTTACTGTCTAGTTTTTGAAAAGTGATGCTCATTTCTTTGTAATTCATTAGGCAATTTAAAATTTCCGATTCAATGATGAAAAATACCCTATTTTTGAATACTGGGGTTTGTTTTCAATGAATAACTTAAATATCTCAGAAATCTGACTGAATGAGCATCAGTTTTTCGATAGGATAGATACCAAGGGACGCAATGAAACCTTGTGCAGTTCAAATATTGTTTGCCTTGCCCTTGCACTTTTTGGTTAAACTTGACATTTCATATTTTGACCTAAAATCGGAACTCACGTGACTTTAGAGGGTCACATGATGACAAAAAATACCGATGTGAAAAGCGATGGACAAACTCTTCATAAAGACATTAAGATATTTCAGATAGAGTTTCATGCTAAAAAATAAGACGGTTGAACTTGAAGTGTCTCGTTTTTGGTGCCTTTTTATAGAAAATGTTGCCTTAACTGTACTGCGTAGCGTGAAGATTTATCGTTCTTTACAAAAATATGCATAAATATGAACAGAAATATTAAAGATATAGCAGTTCTTTCAATTTGTAAAAAGTTTTATTTTACAATTAAATACATTGACCAATATTATTTTTTTAAAGATATAAATCAGTAATTCTAATCATTTTGAATTTCTTTTTTTTCCGGGGGATATTATTAAAAACTAAGATTTATTCCCTCTGCAAAACATTTCATATATATACTTCTGAACACGTTAAATTAGTGTAGTTGCTTGTACTGTGCGGGTGTGAGAAACGAATATTGCACTCACAGCAGAAGATGTTGCGTCTATCGTCCTATGAACGCAATTGCTGAATGCAGGTTCATAGTGGGAGAAAACAGATAGAATGCATATATATATATATATATATATATATATATATATATATTAATGTTCTTCTTTTCCAACATGTATGAAAGGGTGAGTGAAAGATGTTTGTATATTTGTTATGAAAATTTAAAAAAAAAAATGAATAATTGTACATATATATTTTTAAAAAAAAAACACTTTTATACTACGTTAATATTATTCAACAGTGGAGTTCGGTGTGATGTTCGGTGTGAAACAACTTTTTTTCATTTAGGTTATTCCTTGCTCTGTTATTCACAGTTTCATAAGCATGAAAAGATTGAATTTCAACAGATATAACAAAATTTTGTTATTAAAAAGGAATATATCGCCGAAAAGAGGAAGATGAAAAAAAAAAACAGATTATAGTTCTTATAAATATGCTGCGGATATTTACGGTTTTTGTTGACAATTTTTGCGTAACATTTAAGTTTTTAAAATATATTTTAACATATCATCTTCAGTTTTAATTCTTTTTATATCATAATGGGTATTAAAATAATTGTCTTTTTGCCTAGAATCGTAATTTTTACTTTGTTATATGCTTGCGTTAAATTTTAAGTTTCGTAAAAATGATTGATCATCAAAACATGTCACTGTACGTTGTGTATAGTTTCCTGTTAGCTGACCGGGGACTGGTGGGGACACCTAATTAAGGTCTATTGTTCTAACCAGTTGATATACTGTACACTGTTACCCCGCTTCCCAATGTGTACAAATCTGGTCAGATGTCATCTTTAATCTGATCGACTGTTCTTCTGAAAATTTATTTTGAAATAACAATCATTGAAGACGGACTATTTTGATAAATTCTTACTTCTGCATTATTTTAATGATTGATTGTATGTTGTTTTACGTCCTATTCGAGAATTTTTCGCTCATATCAAGACGTCACCATATACCGATGAAGGGCTTCAAATTTTGAAGGAAATCATTTTGACCTTTACTCGGCACTTACGGCCATTGAGCAGTGAGGGATCTTTATCGTGCCGACGCCTGCCGTGACACGGGGCCTCCGTTTTTAAGGTCTCATCCGAAGGGCCCGCAACTTTCACTTCAAAGTGCTGAGCGCATGGCGAAGGAACAGTTGCTACCTATTTTTTATCGACTTAGGTCAGTTACGGCCAAGATTCGAACTCACGACCTTCCGATCACGAAGCGAGCGCTCTACCGACTGAGCTATTGTGAACTGTCCTGCATTATTTTAAAAGATACAATTTATTGGTACTTAACCACGAATTATATATATATCAAAATCTTAAACATTTCTCTACCCAAGAAAAAAGAGACTTAGAGATATATATACTCAGTATCATTTTTTTTAGAAGAAAATGACTCTATATTACAATTTTTTTTATGAATCCAGCAGCGGAACGTGGCTCTCCACACACGAAAGAAAAATACAACGTGATTTCTTTTTAAAATTAGAATATATAGTATGTGTTAATGGATAAAAATAATTTTGGAACAAGTATTTAAACTGATTTTTTGATGGCAAAATATTTAAGGCGTTTGCAGAAGCTGCTCTCAGCGCCCGAGTTTATATACATTGGCAAAAATATAAGAATTAGCGAGACAACATTATGAATTGAATAAGATTTTTCGTAAATTATATTGAAATATAAGATATATATCGCCGAACTCAGCAAGTTAATTTAAAGACTTGATAAAGGATGCGTAAAGGTGGTTTGATTAAGTTTGGACACTAAGCCACCATTAAGCTGCAGCTTAAAGGTGGCTTAACGGTAGCTTACTGAAGTTTGGACATTAAGCACTTAGAAGCTGCAACTAATTAACTTCTTTAAGCCACCATTAAGCTACCTTTAAACCACCATTAAGCGATTGCTTAAAGATGGTATTTCGTCCTGTGCTTATTTATGGAGCAGTATACCATAATCACCTGCATATGGGGTTTATGTGATACGCAAGATCCTGTTCCACGTAACATCAGTTTCTAAAACGAAGCAGGCTATTAAAATAAGTTGATGAGGCAAGGATATCAACAATCTCGTTTAAAGCCAACAATTCGCAAATGCAATGGTCGATACATGTAAACACAATCTCTCAATTAGTCCAATGTTGACTAACATCTTTCATACGATTTGTTAGGCCATTATTTTCTCATTGAATTGTGTACGGATTTTTCTGTTTACCCGATCATGACAATGAGCACACGGCGGGTGTGACTGGTCGACAGGGGATGTTCATTCCTCCATGACACCTGATTTTATCATGTCCGTGTTTGCTCTGCTCACAATTTCTATTGTTTAATTGAACTTCGAGCATGATTACTATTCGTTATCTTCACATTTCACTACAAAAAAGGTGTTGACATTGCAATAATTTTCTAAGTACTATAATATATACAATATTACAGGTATTTCTATAGGTATTGTCAATCATAGATATCATGCATTTTTCAGCTCTGACATATGTATTATAAATTGCTTTTTGGCCCATTCACAATAAAAATAAAACAAGAAAGTAAATAATCTTTAAACGTATCATTGTGTAAACTGTTTGAACAGGACCTCAACGCTCACCTTAGTCATTATGGCCCTGCTGTTCTTATGTATATCTTTGATCACTATTCTGGCCCCACCCTTCCCCAAGGGATCATGATTTGAACAAACTTAAATCTACACTACCTGAATATATGACTAATCATGATTTCGCTGTTCTTGAGAAGACGATTTTTTTAAAGATTATTTTTTATATATATGAAAATTTTGATCCCCCATTGTGGCTCCACCCGACTCCCGGCGGGTAATAATTTGAACAAACCTGAATCTGTAGTACCTGAGGATGCTTCCATATCAATGTGTTTTTGAGAAGAAGGTTTTTAAAGATTTTTTTTTGCTATATTCCTATGTAAAACCTTGATCCACAATTGTGGCCCCACCCTACCTCCGGGGGTCAAGATTGGAACAAACTAGAATCTACACTACCTGAGGATGCTTCAACATCAATATGACTAATCATGACTTTGCTGTTCTTGAAAAGATTTTTAAACTATATATTCCTGTGTAAAACTTTGACCCCCCATTTTGGCACCCCCTACCCTCAGGGGTCATGATTTGAACAAACTTGAATCTACACTACCCTTAGGATGCTTCCAAATCAGTATGACTTATCATGGCATTGCTGTTCTTGAGAAGATTTTTGAAGATTTTTTCCTATATACAAGTACTTTGATTTCCCAATTAGGGCCCTACAAAATCCAGGGGGGTCATGATTTAAACAACCTACACTATGTCCACGTTTCAACTTTTTTGGCCTAGTGGTTCTTGAGATTTTTAAAAGTTGCCATCAAATTTTCAGTAATTCTTAAATATCTCCCCTTGAAAAAGGGTGTGGCCCTTTATTTGAACAATCTTGAATCCCCTTTACGCAAGGATGCTTTGTGGCAAGTTTGGTTGAAATTTGCCCAGTGGTTCTAGAGGAAGTCGAAAATGTGTAAAGTTGACAGACGGACATACGGACGGCGGACAAAATGTGATCAGAAAAGCTCACTTGAGCTTTCAGCTCAGGTGAGCTAAAACGACAGGTCTTTGGATATATTCATACATACTCATGAGCGACACAGGTTTGAATTAAATTTTGACATTTTCTTATATATAGTTAAAGTTTTTAAATCTTCAATGGTATTTACAATGCTTTGACATATTGGTAGGTAGTAATGCATACAGACATACTGCTGTACTTCAAGTTCACACATAGTTTTAAAAAATCGGGGTTTTTAACTTTACGTTTGTGAGATAAATGCTCGCCTATCACAATAGCTGTATTGTACTCCGCATTATGTAAGCAATAAAAAGTCACATTTAATGTTGCTAAAGATCGTTTCAAACAATTATTTTCCTTAATTAAACATAAAGAAAAATACATACTATGACTATGACACATGATATTGACGTCACTCCAAGTTCCGTTCCACAAACAACTTACAATTCCGTCTCCCGTTTGATTAAATTTGTCCAAGCAGGACAATTTATGCTTGCTACCAAAATCTACAGCTATGTCTGAACTAAAATTTCTGACGTGCTTTGGAAGGATAAGGTTCAATGGATGGCAATCTGCAAAATGAAATATGCATATTACGAAAGAGTTTTTGTTTTAATGAAAAATGTATGTACAATTAAATTAAAATCAAATTCTAAATTCCTTGTTAAAGTTAAGGTTTTTAAAGTTTTTGTATTTTTTTTATAATTTTTTTTTTAAATGTATATTTTCTATGTAAATTGAAAACTAATCTATTGTGACCGGAAATATTTTTGTAAAGATTTGGAAAAGTAATGGTTTACGAGGAAATAACATTACATACTCATACACTCTGTTATAAATTACAATAAACTATGCAATAAATATTTAACACACAAATTTAGCACACGTTTATACATTAATAAAGCCTATGTCCCTTGCAATTTTTTGAAAAAAGAAAACATCTTATAAAACAAATTTGTGTATACAGGGTTTTTGCGAAATCTATTGAGACATTTGTTAGGGCAAAAGGAGATGATGGTTTTCTTATTTCATTTAACTTACACGTCATAACAGTATAAGTATACTTTAATTTTAGTTAAGCTCTCAAATCAGAAAAATACACTTCATATAATTGCAGCATATGTTCGCTACGCAAAACAGCATTATATGCTTACTGTGTGAAAATATATCAGTAGAGATGAATATTAATCATGAATTTCATGAATTTTAGCATTATGCGTATCATACCTTTCTAACACATGCTCAACATACATTAAATAGATGCTGTCATAAGACAGTAATACCCACACTAAGGTGTTTTCCTCTAAATACGCTCTCCTTCAAATTCTGGTAACCAGGATAGAAGCATACATTTAAATCAAGCATTAAATGCTCAGGTGAACATGCAGCCCATATGGGCCTCTTATGTACATATTTCATTATCAGTCTGTTAAAGAGAGAATTTTTGAAAGATTTGTGTAAAAAAAAAAGGGGGGGGGGTAATTTTTGGCCCATAATTGGAACTTATTGAATTTATTGTCAAAACAACAAATACAATAATTTTTAGTGCATAGCTTTTTTGATGAACTTAAAAAATTAGATACCAAAATGACAACTTGTGCAAATTTTTATCAGTATATGGGTAGGACTTGGAGAACCTCTTTCCACACCTTGACCCGATCAACTATGTCAAAAATCAACCCCCATCCAAGATTCACCCATTTACCTGTCATGTTTGGAATAGATAACACAAACTTATGTAAAATTAAAACATTGTATGTAATTATAAATTTTACAAATGTACACCTTTTTGGAAAATTTCTAGACCCGCGCATGGCGTTGGAATTACGTCACACTACGAGCACTACTTTTACGTTTATCATTATTGGATTGCACATGGTGTATGTACATCATTATTACCAGTGGGGATATTAATTGTGTGTGTTTTAAATGGATTTATTATTGTATGAAGTTAACAGTACGTATAACAGGTGGTAAGTACATTATGAATATATTATTTTAAAAGTTTAGTATAGAACGGGGGGAAATAATCAGAAATGAAAATAGTTAGGGGCCTATAGTTGGAAAAGGGTCAAAGATCATTGGAATACCATATGAAAATTATATATGGAGGCAAGTCCATGCGCTGATCTGGGGGGGGGGGGCTGAAAAGTCATACATATGAGCCTTAAGAAGTGAGCGCCCCCCCCCCCCCCAATAGGTGTTTCACATTTGGGAAAGAAGTTTACGTTGGTTTTTTTTGATGTTTTTTATGCTTGTCAAGAAATTTCTGGTTTGAATTTTTTTCACTGCGGATGACCCCCCCCCCCCCCTTGGAAAAAAATCCTGGATCGTCGCCTGAAGCCCCTGGGGTTATTCCCACTCTTTGGAACCAGAACCAATAAAATATCTATAGTTAAAGCAAAAGCCCCTAAGTCATCTTTGTGATATGACACACTAAATAGGATATATGGGGTCATAACCCCTTGAGGTCATTCCCAGACCCTAAAACTTCAAATGATCATATATCTTGAAAACGGTTGAAAACTTCTCCCCTTAACCATATATAATATTGTCCCTTGGGTCATTATGCATTAAAGTGTACAAAGGTTATGACCCCTTTGAATTCATCCTCACCCTGAAACTGGAAATGATCACAATATGACCTGTGTCAAAATTGTGTCAGTTATAGTCTGCTTGACATTATATTTATGACCCCCTAGGGTCAGCCCACCCTCCCAGAATCAGAAAATGAAAATCATTCAGAGATCCACCATTAAACTTCGTGAACATGTACATTTTTGTATTAATCACAATTTATTTTATATCAAAACAAGTTATAAATAATTTGTATAAATAAATAAGCCTGGGGCTGGGAAGAGGGAAAAGGGGAAGGAGTGTTATGTCTGCATGGTCTTAAATGTTGAAAACTCCTAAAATTTGTGAATATTAACCCGGCCGTTTCCCACCTGTCATCATTATTTACTGATCTTCTCACTACATACACGTTTATTAAATCAATAGATCATAAACTTTTTGGTTTTGGTCATATGCCTTGCTCTTCTTTGAACCAGGAATAATGATATGAATATTTTAAGAATATTTTAAGAATGATTAAGAATTAAAACAGGTCTTGCACAATCTCTTAAAATTGATTAAAGTCTGTAGTTGAATTAGCTATATTGATATAGCTTGATTTTGCTATTCAAAACAGTTTGATTTAATTATTTAATCATACTTTTTTTTTAAATGTACAATACGGATAAAAGTTGCACTATGTTGACATGGGTATAAATTTTCAGCTTTGGGTTTTCTGAAAACAATGCATGAAAGAAAAGTATGGCTTTTCAAATATTGTGTCTTCTGCGCATTTGCTATCTCAAGCTTTTAAAGTTTTGCATTGGGCTATACACCTGGGGTAATCTCTCTCTCTCTCTCTCTCTCTCTCTCTCTCTCTCTCTCTAACATCTACTTGGCCAAAAAAAAATTTATATTGATGACTTTTTATGATTTTACACTAATTTGTACAGCAGTGAGAATGATATCCCTCCCAGAAATGTAAAAAATAAGTTTACTCACTATCTCTTTGATTTTTATCTATAAGGCCATTCCAAGTTTTTTCTATGTTTAGCGTCCGCGTGCGCCTTGGTTTTTGACACCACATATGAGAAAAAAACAAACAAAATCAGGAGTCCTGAAATTGATTATTCTGGTCAAAATTTTTCAATTCTGTCTATATCTCCAAGTATTTGTTTACAAAATGTCATTATAGGTATATTTAAATTTTAAGCATTTAATACATTGATTTTGCTAAAGAATAGCTTTTTGTACGTGAAAAATAGATTAATGAAATGAAATGCATTTTAAAGACTATAAAGTCTGTGTTTTATTTTTTGGCTTGTGTGTTTTTTGCGAATAGATAGGTAGGTTTTTGAAGGATGGGTGGACGCTGAACAGAGAAAAAACTTGGAATGGCCTAATTATAAAAGGACACAGCCAGAAGTCTTTTATTGTGGTTCGTTACAAATTTCACATTCAACTCCTATTGTTCAAGATCAGTATTTTCAGTAGGCAGAAAACTCGATCAATTATGCTTGAAAAGTATTCACTGTGAACAATCACCTGATTTGTTGAAGACAGGTAAACATACCCCTCAGGGTATAATTATCATACATAGGCCTGTACAGAATTGAAGCGTCAGGATTAAATCATCATTATCTTAGTTAAAATGACAAGAAACCCACTAGAGGTGTGATGGAATATTTAGAAACACAAAGAGTTTTATTTCTCATGTGAAATATTCTTTCTTGTGTAAAACAATTGTTCACAAATGAAGGGTCAAACCATCTTTTAAGTGGAGATAAGAATGAATGAAAATTTAATAGTAATTCAAAATCTTCTCAAAAACCACTGGGCCAGAAAAGTTGAAAATTATGTGAAACTTCATTACTTAGTGTAGATTCAACTTTGTCCAAATTATGACCTTCAGGGGTAGGATGGGGCCACAATAGGGGATCAAAGTTTTGTAAACATGGGAATGTACAGTAAACACTAAATGCGCTAGATGGACAATTTTGCTTCGTTATGAGTATAATTGCTTATATCCATTAAGTTTACAATATATTTTAAAGTCATGGGGAATGAAAATCGCTTTCCTGTAAGCGTCAATTCATTGTGAGCATGTTCGCTATAAGCAGGCTTTACTGTATGAGAAACAAGAGGCCCAAGGGCCTTAACGGTCACCTGAGTATAATACAACAATTTAGAAGTTAAATACACTGATAGTTGAAGCTTTGTTGCCCTAAAGCAAGAGAAGTAGGAAGATCAGGATCAACAAAATAATTAGTCTAGTATTCAGTATCAACTCATAAATTAAGTTCTAATCTGTCCCCCACTTAACACTATGCAGACTATTAACAAACTATTAGTGCTTCTGTACTATTTTTAAACCCATATTAAGATCTCTAGCATTGACCTCTCTTATGGTCTTTGAAGAACTTTTAATAAGATAAGTTATTTTTGTCTCATTTTTATTTATCTATTACTTACAGGTCTACCTGTTTATTAAAACTAAGAAAGTACTTTTTTAATTATATGATAAACATTCTTGCATAATTATCTTATTCTATTAACCTTTCAAATACATTATTTACAGTGATTAATTATCAAAATCATAATCATGCACTTAGTTTGTTTATATAATCTCCAGTAGCAGAGAACAAGATTTTCAAAGAATCAATGCATTTTCACTATATAATCAATAGAGCCCCGCCCTAACACCAGAACCCCTGACCCTGGGGCCATGAAATTCACAATTTTTGAAAAGGCATCCTTATGCATCATAACCATGTACTTAGTTTGTTTAAATAATACCCAGGAGCAGAGAAGAAGATTTTCAAAGAATTAAAGCATTTTCACTATATAATCAATAGAGCCCTGCCCTAACACCAGAACCCCTGACCCTGGGGCCATGAAATTCACAATTTTTGAAAAGGCACTTTTGCTCATCATAACTATGTACTTAGTTTGTTTAAATAATACCCAGGAGCAGAGAAGAAGATTTTCAAAGAATTAAAGCATTTTCACTATATAATCAATAGAGCCCTGCCCTAACACCAGAACCCCTGTCCCAGGGGTCATGGCTTTCACAATTCTGGAAGAGGCCCACCTCCTCATCTTAACTATGTACTTAGTTTGTCACCTTAATGCCCAGGAGCAGAGGAGAAGATTTTCAAAGAATTAATGCATTTTCACCATATAGTCGATAGAGCCCCGCCCTAACACCAGAACCCCTGACCCTGGGGCCATGAAATTCACAATTTTGGAAGAGGTACTCTTGCTCATCATAACTATGTACTTCGTTACTTTATTTAATATCCAGAAGCAGAGAAGAAGATTTTCAAAGAATTAATGCATTTTCACTATATAATCTATAGAGCCCCGCCCTAACACCAGAACCCCTGACCCTGGGGCCATGAAATTCACAATTTTTGAAAAGGCACTTTTGCTCATCATAACTATGTACTTAGTTACTTTATTTAATACCCAGGAGCAAAGAAGATTTTCAAAGAATTAATGCTTTTTCACTATATAATCTATAGAGCCCCGCCCTATCACCAGAACCCCTGACCCTGGGGCCATGAATTTCACAATTTTGGAAGAGGCACTCTTGCTCATCATAACTATGTACTTAGTTCCTTTATTTAATACCCAGGAGCAGAGAAGAAGATTTTCAAAGAATTAATGCATTTTCACTATATAATCTATAGAGCCCCGCCCTAACACCAGAACCCCTGACCCTGGGGCCATGAATTTCACAATTTTGGAAGAGGCACTCTTGCTCATCATAACTATGTACTTAGTAACTATTTAATACCCAGGAGCAGAGAAGAAGATTTTCAAAGAAATAATGCACTTTCACTATATGATCTGTATAGCCCCACCCTGGGGCCAGAACCCCTGACTCTGGGGCCATGAATTTCACAATTTTGGTAGAGGGCTCCATGCTTATTACAATGATGCCAACAGTTTGACTGCTTGATGTCCAGGAGTAAAGAAGAAGATTTTTAAAGATTGCATTAATTTTGGTGGTTTTAGCCCCACCCCTCAGGCCCCAGGGGGGCAGGGATCATGAAATTCACAATTTATGTTTCCCTTCTACCATAGATGCTATATACCAAATTTGGTTGAAATTGGTTGAGCGGTTTTAGAGAAGAAATTAAAAATGTTCAAAAGTTAACGCACGACGGACGACGCACGACGCACGACGACGGACAACCCCTATCATATTCCAAAAGATAAATTGCATTCTGCTTAAAATGTAGGAGTAGTTAGATTAAGAAGTGTTACAGACAGATGGATGGACGGACCAGGGTAAAAACAATATACCCGAATTTTCTTTATTAGAAAGTGCGCGTATAATAATAATTTTAGCACATGCCAAATGATCTTTTCAGTACATTCTTTGAAAGCACGCAACACATCATTTGAGATAGATTTTAATAGTTTAGAAGGCTGAAGAAGTCTTATCTGAGTGTAATATATATATATATATATATATAGAGAGAGAGAGAGAGAGAGAGAGAGAGAGAGAGAGGTGTGTGTGGAATTCCTTATATCTTAGTTCTCATAATCTGTCAGAAGCCTGCCTTGTTTTAAAAATTGATCGTAGAACATGCTTTTGTGAATCGAATCAACTAGAGGCATAAACCCGATATACATGTGATAATGGTATATTGCTACATAAATAGGGAAAGTTGACGATAGAAAAGTTGAAGTCTTCACATTTATCAAAAATTTAGTTGTTAGTTTGCCATCACTATCTTTACCTAGTAAGACATCCAAGTTATTAAAATTGTATTTTACTTACGTGCAATTTCACAGTCCGCGTTGTGTAGAGGCTTAAGCACACATTTTTCATTGATTTCACATCTTCTCTGCTGACATTCCTCAGTCAATTCCTTTAATAAAATTTGACAAAATAGGATGTTTCTCTTTCTTTATTTCTTTTCAGCAACTTTAATCTAAATTTCATTGTTTCTGTATTTATCGTAACCTACCATTGGCCAGGATTCCCGTCGACCAAAGATCCAGCCGTCTTCAGTTGTCAACCCTGTATCAGAACTCGTGTCGTTTTCATAATTCAGTTCACAAAATATCGCAGCCCGTCTGTAGTTAAATGATAGACATCCAGGACGGACCAGGCATTCCTCCGCACAATCTAACGGACTGACCTGAGCAATAGTGGTCAGTAATCTACCGATGAGACGCTTACCCCACTGTAAACTTTCATAGGCATGCTTCAGAGATCCGTTTGTCAGCGTAAAAAGTAAAAATATAGTGCAGTATTTATGTATTTTCATTGTCCAAAAAGCAGCACTGTCACTTAAATTCAAAATGTGTCTATTTATCAGTAAGTTTAGCAGTAAGTTTAGCACCCAGTCATATTCCTTTTAAATGCACGTGACTGTTGGGATGATGAATTTTTAAGCATTTATAGCCAACAACAACCCAACGAAATTTGCACTTCCTAAAAATTGTGTGATAATTAAATTTCAACATTGCGTTAAAAGTCTAGACACAAAAAATTAAATATAGTTCATGCACAAATCTATAGATTAGACATTCTCCTCAATTGTTCCCGTTTGCCTAAAGTTGTAGATATTAGATCTGCTCTTTCACACTGAACTACTAGTATTGATTATTTAAAAAACTTTATAATTCAAAGTGCAGATCAGATAAACATTCATCTCAAACACGGTCATATTTATGCATGTTTTTTCGAAACATTAATTAATCAAATATGTTTGGAACAGAAGATGAATGTATGATCACAATCATATATATGGAAAGCCAACGGCTTTCCATATCTATATACAGTAAAGAGCCTTAGCTGTAACAAATTTATATAATGCTTTTCTTAATCTGAAATGTGATTAAGATTATTTTTTCTCAAATTAAGACTCCACTTCAGCACTGATGTAAATAAAACGTCCAAAAAAAATTATTCATTTTTTCTACATTAAGGTCGATGGCGTGTTATATCTTTCGTTACGAAAAGTGTTCAATATAATTTGTAAGGATATTGCTTAAAAGTATTGAAAATGCATCAGCTTTACCTAGAATATATATGGGGTTGTTTATGTCAATTTAGCTCCCCTGAGCTAATACTGATTAAAATTTTGATGGGTATAACACATTTCTGTGGAAAACTAACTGGTTTAAAATTCAAACTCTGTATTTTTTTTATAAAGTAAATCATGTTAACCTTAATTTGTTAATTGTAAATCATAATTTCATAATTTGCCAATTGTTCAAGCACAATCTGTTAATTGTAATTATCCAACATAACTTTACAAATGTTAAATGTAAATGCAAGTTATGTCAATGTTCACGTGTACATGTAATTCGTACATTTGTCAACTTGTGACATGTAAATTATAGTTCCGTAATTTGTGAATTTTGCAAGGTTGCATTATGTTAACGTCTATTAAGACGAAAGAGGATGGCACGTTATTTTGCCTCCAAACTAAAAAAAGATCCTGAACTGAAATGAGTTTTGTTATATGCATGCATATTGTGCCTCCATTCTGGTCGAATACAGAAAAAGAGTGTATTCCTGGGTTTAAACAACAAAGTTCCGCTCTTTGTATAAAGAGGGGTGCCGAAAGAATGGAACCCGAACGATTTTTTTCATTTTTATAAAGTAGCGTAAAGACAAGGTACGTAGTATCGGACGGGGCTCCCCCTTCCCGTCTTTTCCCGAACATGTTTTACTGTAAATTTAGTAATACTAAATACAATAAATCGATGTTTAAAACCTCATCTGATATCTTTTATTGTATGTTTAATGCTGAACATTACATATATCACTGCTTAACAGCTATTTTTTTTTTCATTTTTTGTTCTACTTGAGTTTATCTACTGAAACAGTGTTAATCGTTGTTAAGGTCAGGATCTACTGAATGAAAGGTGCCCACAGATTTCTCAAATTTGAGATACATGTTCTTTTAATGATCCTTTACGAATATAGCTTGGTAGAATAAGGTGTATCTGGACATAATTTTTGGGTAAACTCATCGGAAAAACATATTCTAAACTGCCCATTTTCAGTGAAAAATGAAGAAAGTCTGGTATAAATATGGGAGTTGTTTCCATCTCAGACAAAAAAATGTATCAATATTGCGTACAGTCTCTCAGAAAACGGTTTTTCATATCTTCTTGATCTCTACTTTAAAATGATATTAAACGGAATAAGGGTATCGGGGTTACATTTGACATGATTTCAAATTGAATTCCATGAAAGTACTTTATTTCTACATAATTCTATTGAAGCCGTAAAGTATGGGAAAAATTAAGTTAAAATCAGTTATGACGTCATAATAAATCTAGCACCAAGAAGAAAGTCTGAACTCATTTACTAAAACTTGACCTTAAGTTAATAAATGTCAATCATAAAACGTTTAAAGGATTTAAATGCTACGAGGGCTGTAAAAAATTAGAAAGTCTTGTTACTCAGAAAAAAATATTTGATGACATAAAAACAGAAAGAGTCATACATTTTATAGAAGAATCTTCATTTTAGTAGTCAACAATTTTTTTTTTAAATATTGTAAATTGATATCAATTTTGAATTATTACTTACAACATGTCATGAAGTCATGGTGCAGTTAAAAAAATTCTGCGACTTAACGGCCGTCATAAAAATTGTGCTTTCTCATTTCCTCAACGTACTTCCCTTTGTTTTTGAAACACAGCATTCATCATAAATATCCATATACCTTTTATAGTCAAATTTGGAAACTATATAATCAGTACAGTATTATATATTTAGTTTGTTAAATTGCAGATACTTTAAAAATATTGAGTGATGTTCGTCACTGTTCTTAACAGTCAGGGTTAAGTTTTCGTTGTTGATCTTTTTCAGTTCTCTCCCCGATTGCCTTTTACTATGATCCAGAAATTTTCTATTGCTAATTGTAGACAGATGTCTGGCTTACCGCTGATTTATTTAATGTTTCATCAAGCCATATTTTGGGTCTCTTTTGACATATTCTTGAGCACTACACAAAGTTTGATAGAAGTGCGCTGTTCCGTCAAATCATTTCTGTCATTTTTGTTGTTGTTCTCATGGGGAACACATCGGATTTCTGTTAATGATTCTAATATTATGTCCTAAATTCAAATGCATGATAATGTAACAATAAAAAGAAACTGTAGAGAAAATTGTCGAATAATCTCGCGAATTATAGAAAAAATACGAGTAAAATTTTGGATTCTACCAGATGTTTTTTGTTTTTTTTTTCAAACCTTTTGCTGTGGTCACCATCACCATCGCTAATATCACAACAAAATTTTTGGAGAAATTAATCAACATCATAAAAAAAAAATACCAAAGATTTAATGGGAATTTTATGGAATATGCCTCTGTAAAATTGCACTACTACCGTAAATCTGGAAATTTTTATGTCGATTTATTTTTGCGAAGCTGGGTCAAAAAGCTGTTGATTAATTTTTACGTTTCAAAATTTTGCGGATTGACATTCATGGTGCTTAAATTAAAAAGTGCTTAAAATTTCCATAGCAGTTTATAAGTTTCGCATGTAGTACATACAATAAATTACACATGTACATACAATATTAAACGATGGCAACATTCAATAATCGGATTATGTACTTTCAAAAAATTACACATGTGCACACAATACTAAACAATACCACTGTTCAATAATCAGATAAAAATATTAGAATTTAGGAGATAAAACATCTAAGCTATTTAAAGTTTTCATAACATTTTAATAAATCACGCATGTACATGAAATATATAAAACGAAGTCAGCTTTAACTAACCTTCAGATAAAACATTTGTTCTTAAAACAACTGGCCTCTCTTTTTTAGAAAAATAATTTAAGAGAGACAGACTGCTGTCAAACCATCGGTGAAATGAAGGCACTCTCACGCACGGATTATCACGGGTAATTAGCTCATAGTATAAACAGGTTTCTTAAAATGACCACTGCTTACGAACACCTTTTCATCTTCTTAAAATATAGCAAAAAATTTTGTTTTCATTTTTTTTTTTTTTTTTTTTTGTTGATTTATTTTTAAGAAATATATTTTTGCGAATGCAATGTACGCGCAAATTTGCTAAAAATTTATCTACAGCAGAAATTCCCAGATTTACGGTATTTGACGTCTGTAAAAGTAAAATATGAACTAGTAGATCGAGTCCACGCATGTTTTGAACGGCCCTCGTACAAAGTACCTATCCCAGGAAAATTTTCCAAGGAATTTAAAGGTTTTTTTCTTATTTTTATTTAAAAGAAAACGAACTAAAGTCTTTAATTAATTAACGCATATACATTGTATGTATGAAATAATTATTCTTCATTTAAATCTATCTTGTGCACTGCTCGTATATTTATGGATTTGAAATATTTTGCGTTTGCAAACTCTAATTGATATAAACGTAGTCTGGAATAATCTTTGAGGTTTTAATTATATCATAAATTTATTGGTCTTATTAATATTTGATGAACAAAGAGTATCAATGGAAAATTGAATTTAAATAAGGTGGGTTACATACAAAAGATAAAATTTATAGTGGAAATTATTCATGGCACCCGATCCTTCCTCTGGTGGTGCTAGAGATCCGTCTTTGCTCTGCTCCAAATATGTATTGTTTCAATGGATTTTTGAGTTTGATTACAGTTCGTTATCTTCATATTTCATTCAAAATTTCTTTTTAAAATTCATAGGCAAAATTTATATGTATACAATGATTAGGTAAGGTTGTTCGCTAACGTTCACCAGATGTCACAGAATTTAAAAATTCATAATTCCAAACATTGTAAATTAAAAGTTATTTAAGAGAATATTGATAAGATAGATGGTTTTCATCACGTAAGAGAGAGAGATAGAGAGAGAGAGAGTTTGGAAA